AAATTATAGGAAAACAAAAATCATGCTTTGGTTTTCTCCCACAAATGATTAAAATAGAAAACACTAGCATATTTGAACCAAACGCTATATCACATGAATTTAATAAATTTTTTACTGAAATAGGTCCTAAACTATCAAATAAGATTCCTATCACAAGAACTTTGTTTAGTGACTTTTTATTATCCTTGGATAAGTGCATATGCTCTGATGAGCTATCCTCTGATTTATCTATTGAAGAACTTGAAAAGGCGCTCAAATCTATTAAAAAGAATAAATCATGTGGACCAGACGAAATAGATGGAAATGTGATAATAGTTTGCTTTAAGCAACTAAAAGATGTTCTTTTCAAAGTTTTTAATGCCTCAATCAAACAAGGAATCTTTCCAGAACAATTAAAAATTGCCAAAGTTACACCTATTTATAAAGATGGTGACCAATCCCAAATAACTAATTATCGCCCCATCTCTGTGCTCTCTGTATTTTCAAAAATCTTAGAAAGAATTATGTACAACAGAATATATAAACACTTTGACAAAAATAACCTACTCTATGTTAATCAATTTGGTTTTAAAAAGGATAGCTCAACAGAGCATGCAATTATCCAACTTGTAAATGAAATTTCAAAATCGTTTGAACAATCAAAATATACATTAGGTATTTTTATCGACCTATCGAAGGCCTTCGATACGGTTGACCATCACATCCTACTCAAAAAACTGGAATACTATGGAGTAAATAACCAAGCGTTAAGGTGGTTTAGAAGTTACTTAACAAATAGAAAACAATTTGTTGTTGGTAATGACAACTATCACAACAATTGTTTAAGTATAACCTGTGGAGTTCCACAAGGTTCAATCCTCGGACCTCTCCTTTTTTTAATTTATATAAACGATTTAAATAAAGCAACTAATCTGATGAGCATCATGTTTGCTGATGATACTAATTTATTCATCTCTAAGAGCGATATTGGCGAACTTTTTGTCACAGTGAATAAAGAACTTAAAGTTTTATCCCACTGGTTCAAGTCCAACAAATTAACTTTAAATACTGACAAAACTAAATGGACTCTTTTTCATTCGAATAGGAAAAAAAAATTTTTACCCCTAAACTTGCCTCCAATCTTTATTGATGAAATTGAAATAAAAAGAGACTCCGTTATTAAATTTTTAGGTGTTTATCTCGATGAGAACATTAATTGGAATCAACATATTAACTATATATGCACTAAAGTCTCTAAAAACATTGGAGTTTTGTACAAAGCTCGAACTTATCTCAATAAGAAACACTTAAGGCAACTTTATTTCTCATTTATTCACTGCTACATAAACTACGCTAATATTGCCTGGGGAAGTACTGAAAAAAGTAAACTACTTCGTCTTTATCGCTGTCAGAAACGAGCAATTCGCATAATTAACTTTGCTGATCGTTTTTCTCATTGTAAACCTTATTTTATTGAGATGAAAATTTTAAATGTATTTCAACTCAACGTTTTAAAAATTTTATGCTTTGCTTATATGTGGAAAAACAATCTATCCCCCCCAGTCTTTAAAGATTTTTTTAGTTTAAAACCCAGCAACAAATACACTCTTAAAAGAAAAAATTTCTTTAACGAACCTTTTTGTCAAACAAATTTTAATCAATTTTGTCTTGCCTATCGTGCACCGCACCTATGGAATAAACTTGTTTTACCTAATGTTGATTTTGATCGACCAAATTCTTTTTGTCTTTTTAAAAACAAAATTAAAAATCTAATTTTTTCCCTCGATAACATTTTAGAGTACTATTAATTAATTTATCTTTTATTTAAATTTTTAATATTTTTTCCCTAAAGTTTTGTTGTTAACAACTATTTATATTTAAAGATTTGCTAATGTAAAAGTTCTATATATATATTTTACTTTACTATAACGTATACTTTACAAGGTATTCGTAAATTATATTGTTTATAAATGTTTTTTAAGGTTCCGATGATAAGATCTTAGTGATCTTCTTTCGGAAACCTAGTTTACACTGTTATCACGATTTGTATATATATATATTTGTAAAGTAATTTTAATAGTTTATTGTATTGTAAAACGACTAACTTTGTAAGCTAAAAAAAAAAAAAAAAAAAAAAAAAAAAAAAAAAAAAAAAAAAAAAATTTGGACCATTTTAGACTAGTTAGAAGGGAAATGTCGACACTTTCGTTATAGGTTTAAACAGTTTTGCCGACTGCCATGACAAATGTTGTCATGGCAGCCGGCAAACTTTGGAAAACGAGGACCTTTTTTTTCTTTTTTTTTAGTCGGCAAAATGTAATAGTATCCCCCCCCCACGTGACACCTACTCGCGCCGGTACTGATTGCACTGCTTAATTATTTTCCATTTAACAACTGGGTTTAAGTTGGCATTTTTTAATTTCCAAAAATTTTTCGATAATTCGGTGTCATTTTTGTATTTTAGAACGTTAAATGATTTTATATGGCTGGCATATCTAATTTTGAATTGTGTTTCATTTATAACAATGTAGAATTTGTTGACAGGAGTGTTAGTAGGATTATTAAAACTTATATTGGCTTCAGGGCTGTCTCGAAGAGATTTGTGGGGGAGGGGGGGTGATGTGTCTGTTTTTGCCACAATTTTTTTTTGTTCGCAAAAAAAAAAAAGTTCCTCGTTTTCCCATTGCCGACTCCAATTTGCTGTTTCCATTTGGATACGTTTTGGCATGCTGTTAACAAGTTTTGTACAATAGTCTGGTGTAATTTCATGGATCCGCACTGATTTGATTGCTTCAACTAAATCATTATAGGATCTAGGCTTTTTGGCAGCAACTTTTACTTTCATAATATTATAACAATTTTCAATAACATTAAGATCTGGTGATGACCCAGGCCAATTTTCAAGGGTTTGAATTCCTTCATCAGCAAACCACTTCTTTACAATTTTGGCTGTGTGGCATGGTGCACCATCCTGTTGGAAACAAGTGCAGTTCAAGATCTGCATGAAAGGTGGCAACTTCTCCTTCATAACATCCAAATAGACTTTGCTGTTTATTGTGGTATTCTTGGGCATTATCCATAATAGCCCACATTCTTTGGCAGAAATAGCACCCCAAACCATACAAGACACAGGAGCCTTGACACTGCTAACTGTATATTTTGGCATATATCTACAGTTTTTTGGTCTTCTTACAAAGTTGTTTGTAACATTAAATTGTTTAATACATGTTTCATCAGAAAAAAGAACTTTAGACCAATTTTCTCCAGTCCATTTTTTGTAGCGCTGACAAAATGTTTTTCGATCTTTTGGTTTTTTAATGATAAAAAAGGTTTTTTTGCTGGCTTGCATGCCTTCATTTTAAAATCAACCAAAAGCCTTCTTCTAACTGTTCGGTCACTTACTTTTTTCTCAATAAAAATTTCTTTTGAAATCTAGTGTGCAGATAGCCGTGGATTTGCATGGCTGATCCGACCAATAAGTTTGTCAGTTCTTGAGGTGGTTGCTCTGGGCCTGCCTGATCTCATCTTTGAAGTAAAATTTAATTGGGGCTCTTCTTTATGCCTTTTTAAAGTTCTACTTACAGTTAATAATGAACAACCAAGCTTTTCAGATATTTCTCTTTGAACTAAACCTTGTTCATATAATGCAGCAATAATTCCTCTTTTTTTAGGTTAAAGTTCTGGCATAATATAGCTGATAAATTGCTTATGAATAATAAAAAACGATAATAAATTGCGCAATATACAATTATGTAACTATAATATATATATATATATATATATATATATATATACATACATATATATATATATATATATATATATATATATATATATATATATATATATATATATATATATATATATATATATATATATATGTATATATATGTATATATATATATGTATGTATATATATATATATATATATATATATATATATATATATATATATATATATATATATATATATATATATATATATATATATATATATATATATATATATATATATATAATATATATATATATATATATATATATATATATATATATATATATATATACAGTACCTACTCAAATTATTAGACTCAACAACAAAACTTTCAGATTTTGCTAAATTTTTGGATTTTCTTTGATAGGTAGAAGTTATTGCTGTTTACTTTTTGTTGTTTATGTGTAATTTAACTTCTTATCATTCATTTTTTGTTTTAGATTAGGAAAATTTATAAAATATATATACTTTAGAAAATAATTTTCAACTTCATAAAAAGCTATCGTAAATTTTATTAATATGAAATTAAAAAACTTTCAGTTGATTTTATTTGTCAAAACTCTAATTATGTAAATTTTAGAGGCATATATTACTGTAGGTTGTCTTTATAACTAAAATAATGCAATTTCAGTTGTTTTAAAGTTTTTTTTTTTTTAAATCATGCAGTCACTTAATAACTTATTGAGTGTTGCGCTTGTTTTAGGATTAATAATGGGTAAAGTAAGTGATGTTTCCCACATAAATTAGCTAAAGCAGCTGTTTTTCTGCAAGAAACAGATGGTACACCAGAAGTATTGCAAAAATAGTCAAAGTCTCGCGGGCTACTGTAAGAAGAATAAGTTCTAAACTCAAAATAGGGGTCAAATTAGAACCACATAGAAAAGGTCGGTGTGGTCAAAAGAAAATACCAAGTGCTAGAGTTGATAGAAAAATCAAAAAAGTTATTGAATAAAATCGCAAAATGCAAGCAATAAAAATGAAAAGCGTTTTGAAAGACGTTTTTTTAAGAAAGAGAAGTTACGAGTTAAGATTTAAGGGTAGAAAACCACTGAAGAAGTCGAAACTTACGCCTGCAATGATTAAAAAACGTCATGCTTGGGCTAAGAAATACTCTTCTTTTCAGATGACTGGAATAAGGCAAATTTTATATTTTATTTCTCCATACACTTAAACAAATAATATTTTCTTGTTACAAGTCTTCAAAAGGTGTTTTTGAATAAATATATTATCCCGATTAAATTTACTAATGTTTGAAAAATTATTAAACGACAATATTGACTACTTTATTCAGGTTGTATATAGCGATGAATCTACTTTTGAGACTTTGGATGACAAAGCAACATTTGTGCCCCGCAGACCAGGAAAACCACACAAACCAGAATGCATTGTAAAAACTGTAAAGCACCCAGCATCTAAAATGGTTTGGTCATGCATTTCGAGCAGAGGTACTGGTCATCTCTACATTGTACAAGGAAAAATGAAACAAGATCAGTACAAGACTGTCCTACAGACTTTGCCTATTCCACAGATACGAGAGTGGTTTCCAAATAGTAAAAAAATAATTTTTATGCAAGATGGTGCTCCATGCCATACTGCAAAATCCATAAAGACATTTCATGCTAATGAGAGTATCAAGCTTCTTGATTGGCCTGGCAGATATGAACCCTATTGAAAATCTATTGTCAAACGCAGTCAGTGTTGACATAATAACATGTAAACAAAAGCACATAGAACAACTGATTGAAGTATGGTGTCGAGATCCAGATGTTAAAGCATTAACTGCTAAGTGCAGAAATAGTATGCCGAGACATATCAAAGCTCTTTTAAAGTCGAAAGGACTCACCACAAAGTACAAAGTTTTATAACATGCTTTGTATATGTCAATATAGAGATTATGTAAAAAAAACTTGTTGTGATTGCTTATAGTGCATTTTTTTCAAAAAAAAAAAGTTGAAAATTGAATTTGAGTCTAATAATTTGAGTAGGTACTGTATATATATATATATATATATATATATATATATATATATATATATATATATATATATATATATATATATATATATATTATATATATATATATATATATATATATATATATATATATATATATATATACATATATATATATATATATATATGCGTGTGTGTATATATATGTAAATGTGTGTATGTATATATATATATATATGTGTGTGTGTGTGTGTGTGTGTGTGTGTGTCTATATATATATATATATATATATATATATATATATATATATATATACATATATATATATATATATATATATATATATATATATATATATATATATATATATATATATATATATATATATATATATATATATATATATGTATATATATATATATATATATTTATATATATATATATATATATATATATATATATATATATATATATATACATATATATATATATATATATATATATATATATATATATATATATATATATATATATATATATATATATATATATATATATATGTATATATATATATATATATAATATATATATATATATATATATATATATATATATATATATATATATATATATATATATATATATATATATATATATATATATATATATATATATATATGTACATGGTTTTAATTACTATATAAGAATTCTGTTATATTTAAGGTTGCCAGATGTCCGGATTAAGGAAGGAGGATACAGTAAAAAAATTCATTTCTGCAGGTTTGGTACTGTGTTCTCCTCCGTAAAAGCCTTCATCTGGCAACCTTAAATATATTGCATATGTAAAAGATATTATTATAATTTGTTTACGAATTATTATATAACACGAACTTGTAATTCGTAAAAATTTGTAAAAAAAAAAGCGCTTTGTGAGTTCAATCGTTAATGTATTGTTTAGACTTCTAATTAGGAATAAAGTATGATAAAACTTTTACATATTTTATATATTACAAATACTTTAACCCATAAGTATAATTTAAATTTCAAAATGAAATCAAGAGCTATGTTTCATTTTTGTTTTTATTTTTGTTAAACATTTTTAACAAAATAAGACTTAGGAACGCCATAACTTCTATAAAAGATATTAATGAACTTCCTGTAAACAGTCCAATCAACCCACCACATTCAGAGAGTAGTTGCTCGAAAGAGTAGAGTGGTACTTCTTCAAACACGTGATAGTAAGGACTAATTGGAAAAAATAGGACGATTTCTCTGGAATTATCAAGCCAGTTACAATTGAATGAAAAAGATGGTAGAAATGTATAAACATTTTCATAACAAGGCAATGGACATTCACGATCGTATTTTTTTTTATATTCTTGTAATAAACATTCGGTCAGGTTTTCTGCCTCATTTTGAGAAAAATTTGCTTGAACAGCTTTAAAGGCTTTTGGTATAAATTGTTCACAAAAGTCATAACTACCTCCACAGACCTTATAGGAACTTATGCATTTTAAAGATTCAGTGCATTTTATTTTGGAGTAGTTACCTGGAAAAATCAAAAATTCTGAATCCTGACTGCAGTTTGAAGCATACGGACGTTCCAATCTATTGTAATGTTTAAGTTCAATACTTATGACGTCACTTTCGTTGACTTCTATATAATCCGGTTGAGTTTGAAAAAAAGGATACAAATCTTTTGCATCGTGAACAAAAAGTTCAATTTTTTCTTGCGGATAAATTGTGTAAATACGTAATGAATTTTCTGTATAAGTTGATGTATCGAAAAATCTCGGATTGACTCTAACACAGTCATAATAAGTGCTTTCTATATAATCACCAATCTGTGATCCTTCTACCATCGAATCTGGAGCTTCGACGCTTATTTTATCATTCAGCCAGATGCTAGAACTATTTTCACTATAAGGCAATTGACTGATATTGCTTGTTGTTGTACAATTGTTATCCAGTTTGCATATTCCTCGTTTATCTACTTGAATAGGACAAATAGTTAAAACTGGAGTTTCTTCTTCAGTGTACTCATTAGAATAAAATCGAATGTATACATCATTTTTGTTGTATTTTATAATCAAGCTCCAAGCTATACGTACTATAATACCTATGCTTAATAAAATTATAAAACCCCAGAATATCTTTTCAAAAACATTTCCTGTAAGAGCTCTGGATAGTCCATGAACTGTAAATGAGCCACGATATTCAATGCTTTTTATATGAAAATGATTAATTTTGTTTATTGATGTGTTATCTTTTTCGTTTTGATTCATATCATTATTATCAAATCTGCATTCGGTTGGCGTTTCGATTCCAACTTCTAAAAAAAATTTAATTATATTTTATAAAAATGCATGCTTAAACAACTACGTAAAACCGGTTACCGGTTAAACGCGATGAAACTCAGCACCCTTCATTCGTTAGTTAATTAAAAACTACTTAAGGAATGCACACGGAATCTAAATTGCTTTTGTTTGATTTTAATGGAATAAGTATTGGCTCAATGATATATAAATACTATCATAATAAATGATAAATCAATATGATATATAATGATATATAAATACTACCATTATAAATGGTAAATCAATACTTTATACAAATAATAAATACACATCATTGTAATGGTTATTATTTCATAATGGTTATTATTTCATCAAAAAGCAATTCTATCATTCCCTCCATCAAAGCAAACGGTATCAGTTGCAAAGAGGTCTTGCAAAAAAATGTGGCTAAGATAGATATGTCACTAGAAAAAATTAAATGCATACAAACTAATCAATTTGCTCACATGTTCTTTACATATCAAACAATCTGCTACTGTATAGCAGCTTCAAAAAAAGAAGCTCATACCAAAATTCAGGTGATAATGTTAAGTACTTAAAATATTCATCTTTTTTTTTAATCGTGCAATAAAAAATGTAAAAAATTATTGAGATAATTAAATAACTGAATTAGCTTTATTGTGTCAAAAAACTACTACTATCTGTTGAGCAATTTTCTAATTATTGACAGTTGAAAGTTTCTAAATTTCATTGGGTTCAGCCAATAAAACGCGCGGGAGTTTTTTTAAGCAATTTTAAAACGATAACTTATGACTACTGATAAATTAATGAACTAAAATCATAAAAATAAATTGTAAACTCGCATAAAAATAACAGTGCGCAAACCCATTTTAAGAAGTTGTTAAAAGTTTAAAAATTTGTATTCATATAAATCATTTATTTACTGTTATATATATTTATCGTTATTTGTTTTTAATTTGTTCCTTTTGGTGATTTTACTCCAATAAGTCTTAACGGTTTATCACAGAGCCCCGCAAAATAGCATTTAACCAGTAAATTCTATTAAAATACACAAGCTTCAGAAATATCTGTGAAAACAGTTTGAGAAATTTACTCTAAGATTTTTTTAAAAAAGCAAAAAGACATTCTCAAACTTATAAGTGAAATATTTTAAAAGTTACAAATGAAAGAATCGATGAACTGCTGTAAGAAATAATAAAAGTTAAGGAAACGTACACAACTTTACAAATCATTAGAAATATTAAAAACAAAGGAGCGAGTCACAAAAATTGAACTCAATCAAAAAGGTATCAAAAATAGTATCATTTTTTCACAAGATGCCCAAGAAAAAAAATCAATCAAATTAAAGAAAAATTGTCACAAAAGTGGCGTTTGATGCAGACCCGACGGGCATTTGTTTTTAAAAGTTACGATCTGAATGTATTTTAAATGTCTTTTAAACGTCTTTTAAACATTAATGTTTAAAAGACGTTTAAAAGACGTTTAAAACACATTTAGAACGTAACTTTTAAAAACAAATGCCCGTCGGGGAATATAAAAAAAAGCTGCAAAAACTAGATGAAATAACTGAAAAGAAATAATTTGCGGCTTAAAGGAATAACGGAAAGTGAATATAAAACTCGGAATCAATCTGAAGAAAAAATTTTAGGTATTTTTAAAAGCAAACTAAATGTAAGTGGCGTAGTTATTGAAAGGGCACATAAGACCCAAAAAACTGAGCAAAGGAAACTTCAATCAATCGTAATAAAACTCCTGAAATAAAAAGATAAAATTAGCATAATAAAGAATTCAAAAAAGTTAAAAGGAACACGAATATTTATAAAAGAATACTATTCTTTGGCTATCTTAATTATACGGAAAAAACTCTTATAAGAAAAGTGAACTCACTGGACTAATGGTAAATATTCTGTCGTTGTTTATTTAAATATTTTTAAAAATTACTAAAAATGCTTAAAGTTTATTTTCTTTTTGTATTTTTGTGTTTTATAAAATATTTTTAGTTATTATTGTTAAAATGGAGGAAGCCAACAAAATTATTGCTTTTGACATATCAGGAAGAAAAAACCAAATCTAACTAATGACGCTGATAAAAACATTAACTTTTTGATGAAATTTTAATAGAAACGGCTTATTACAATGTTCACGATGTTAAAAATGTTGTTAATTCTTCATCATCTTATTTTTAATTATTAAATTTAAACATCAGAAGCATAAATTAAAACTTTAAAAATTTAAAACTGATATTAAATCAGGACCTGTATAATACGGGTCTTGGTAAAGCTATACTACACTCACAACCCACCAAACGGAATTTAAAATAAGAGCTGTTGTAACCGAAAATCATTCTACCATGTACCGATAATCATTCTACCAATGTAAATGCATTTTCATAGTTTTATAAAATATGATAAACTCTGTTTTATGAAAAATGTAAGAAACGACTTGTTGAATGCAAAAAAATATTCTTTTTCATTTGATTTTTCCAGAAACTAAATTGAAGTTACTGTTGGTTACTTTGCAGGGAATACATTTCATAAAATCTATCAATAAATCAACTACTAAACAGGAACTAAAAAAAGCGAGAAAAATTAATTATCAAGTTACATATCTTAGAAACAACAAACAAACAAAGGATGTAAATCTTACATTAGCAATATTTGGCAAAACAACTTCCGCTGCAATATTTAGTTAATTTTTTGAAAGAAATAATGCATCACAATTTTTATCATTGTTTCATAATCACACTTATTTCAAAGTAGAAACTCAATTCATCCAATCAACTCATCAATGCTGCTGTGAAAGGTAATAACAAACCAATAATTTATAGAGAAATTTTAAACTGTATTAAAATTTGATCAAAATGCAAATATTTTATATTAACCAAACAAACCTCTCACTTCAACACTATAATTAACTGTATCTCTTATGAATGATTTGCCTAAAGAAGTCTTTACATTTGTTCTTACCTTTATTCAAGCCTTTGGATCCTTTGGAGCTAGGTTTTATTTAACAAGCCTTTGGATCCTTTGGAGCTAGGTTTTAGTAAGTATACTTAAATGGCCAGTGGTAGAAACTTTGTGAGACTTTTAGAAATATGCAATAGTGAAAAGATTTTGACAGAGGTCTGCTCTATAATATATTTTAAAAATATTTTTTAGTAAAAAAATATTTATCAGATATTTTAATCCGTAAAAAACTTTCTTAGTTGCCTACATACGTTCTGAAGATAACATGAATATATATATATATATATATATATATATATATATATATATATATATATATATATATATATATATATATATATATATATATATATATATATATATATATATATGTATATATTATATATATATATATATATATATATATATATATATATATATATATATATATAATCTACAACATTTCCACGACCGTCTCACAAAAATTTAAACCAATGCAATATACATAATACTATATATCAGTAGAAAGCTCTTCTTGCAGAAAATATATAGCTTCTCCTCTTACAGAAAATATAAAGCTTGTTATCGTATGCTGCTATCATAAAAAATAATATGGGCTGAAACAGAAGGTAAAAATAGACGCGATAGTTTAATTCATTTTTAATCGCCAAAGTTCAATTGAACCTATAAAAAGTTCAAAAGCTGTCTTGCTCATTGCAATCACGTTTTTAGGTGCACTAATCATTGCTTCTTATGATAAAAAAATACTTATTGCCAGACAAATTTAGAAAACCATTTATTTTAATCAATTGTTATTACCACTACTGTCACGCTGTGAGAATTAGGGTACCATTAGTTTTATTTCTAAGACAACCAGTAAAACTTAGGGTTTTTCAAAACTCCAGCGCAATGAAAATTCTATTTAGTAGATCTAAAAAAACATGTTTTAAAAAAAATCAGCTCAACTTATTTTTAGAATCTTTTTATGTCACGCAACGGCGTGACAGTTTTTTAACAAACTTATTTTTAAATAACTTATTTTTAGAATCTTTTTATGTTACGCAACGGCGTGACAGTTTTTTAACAAAGTTTAAAACAAAGTTTAAACAAAGTTTTTTAACAAAATTTAGTCTACTAAACTGACTTTTTGCTAAATAGACTTTTAATCAACTTCATTGACCCGGATTATTGTGCGGCATACTTTCTTTGACGTTTTCTACAGAAATTTCTACAGACTACGAAATATAGATATGCTTTGCATAGGCAACATTTGGAGCATGAATGTTCGGCTATCCTCGAGAATCTCTTTTTGGATACATAGAGTCTCTCTAAGAGATATTTGTAACTCCATAGAGCCTTAGATAAAATACGTAGATCTCTATAAATACTGCGTTTCTTTTTTTAAACTTTCAAGGGTTTAACATGCCTCTTACTCATGCTGAACGTCAAAAATATTGCGAAAGGCAGTTTGGAAAATTTGCCAAAAAAGTAGTTAAAGAAAATGTTTCAAAAAAGAGAAAAGAATGAAGGCTTGCTAAATTGGAGGCTCAACAAAAAAAAGAAAGGCAAAGAGCAGATAAAAAGAGCAGAATCAAAATCTGTAGCTGTTTCTTTAAATCTTACAAATCTGTAAATCTTACAAATCCCCTTACAAATCTGCGAGCACTCTTGGCAAAGCTGTGAAGAGAGCACTACCAAAATCACCGAGAAAGACGGCTAAAGTTGTACAAAAACTTTTTTTAAAAAAGAATGAAATCCCTAGCCCAAAAAAAATACTTAATACCCAAAAAAACTGTGCGAAAACGTCATTTGTCTATGAATGTTAATGAAGCTTATGCAGTTTTTAAAGGCGATTATCCTCAAGAATCAGTTGGAATATCAAAGTTTGCTAATTTACACCCAACACATGTGCTTTTGTCTAGTTTAATGCCATGAAACGTTTGTTGATGTCAACGACATCAAAGTATAATCTTTATCCTTGAAGCCCTGCACAAGTTTGATTCAAATTTTCCATGGTATTAGCATGAATTTCCTCTTAGCACTGTATGTGATAGTGAAAAAGACATTTG